CTTGCCGAATACCTCACGGCGCTTCGCGCTTGGTGATGTGAGAGCCTGGTCCGGTGAGAACCCGGCGTGCTCCGTCCCGGCTTTGTAGGGATGCAAGGTCAATGGTCTAACGACTACGGCATGCACGACTATGAGTACACCCCACACACACACACACACACTCCGGCGTCCGGCCGTAGAAACAACGCAGCAATATCGTTTGTGACTCGTGGAGCACATCTCACCAACAGCTGCGCGTGAAGCTCGACTTCCCCCTCCGTCCGAATCAAGGCCAGCTTCAGCGCCGACACCGTCTCGCGCGCGACCATCAGCGCCTCGCGGGTGTCCCCCCGCGCGTGAAGATCCGCGACCCGACCTTCCATCTCCGCCAGGACCGCGCTCTCGACGAGCTTCTGCGTCTTCGTCGACGAGCCCTCAACGCCGACACCCTTAAGCCCACCACGCTCCTTGGCCTCCTCCTTAGCCCAACGCTCCTCGTCGTGACGACCGCTGTCCCTGGTCCTCGCAACGATCTCCGCTTTCAGCACTCTCTGGCGCAGGGCTACGACCTCCAACCCTTGCTCCTCGAGCAGCCGGTGCAGCCGCCGCGCTTCTTTTCCTCCTGCCCCGTCCCCACCCTCGGCGACGCCCCCACCACCACGAGCGGCGACGCTTGCCCTGTCGGCAGCCTCCCTCTCCTCGCGCCTCTTCTCGGCTTCCGCCAGGTGCAACCACCACTCATTGGCGGCGAAATCCGCCGCTTCTCTCTCCTCTGCGGCGGGACCGCGGCCTCCCGATGTCGCCGGCTCCGCCCCACCGCGGAGAGCCCCGCCATCAGCACCGGTAGGAGGAGGAGGAGGAGGAGGAGGAGGAACCCCGGCGGGCGCTGCCTCGAACCCAGTCACGCCTTGCTCGGCGTTGACGGGGGGGGAGGAGGGCGACGTACCGGCGGCGGCGGCGGCGGCGGCGGCAGTGACCGGCGCCTCCGCTACCGCTGCCTCCGCCTTCCTTAGCCGCTCCTCTCGGTCGAGCACGGTGCGACGTGCAGTCTCCTGCAGGCGCTCCAGCGCCCGAACCCTGTCTCCGAGCCTCGCTTCGCGCTCGCGGTGCTCTGCCGTGGCTCGCTCCAAGGCATCGTCCTTCCGGGATAGGGCGACCGTCTGGGCGGAGAGCGCCGACTTTAAGTTCGACGTGCGCGCCGTGCGCATGAGATTAGGTACATTATTCGGAGATGGGTGCGTCGGTGGCGGTGGCGGTCGGTTCAGAGGGTGGGTGTTTCGAACAGTCGGGGAGGAGGGGGTACGTGAGGGACACCGGGGAAAGACACGCCGACGCAATCACAGCGAACAAGTGCCGCCAAGGTAGCCCGCCTCCTCGTACGAAAAGTGAACGCATTATTTGTTGCCTGCCAAAGGTGCAAGATGCGAGCCATCCAGCAACCAATAGACGCATCCAAACAACCATTTCGAAGAGCAACAAATTGACACGTGCTTAGTAAAATGAAACCTCTGCTTGCTCTGATTACTGAATTCGTGCAAAATGGGTCCCCTATCCCCCTACCCCGCATTCAAACAGGTCGCAATACTAGACTAAATTAAAAATAACTCTCCCCCCTTGCCAAGCAGTTGCCACCCATATATTTTCCGAGTTGTTCTCAGCTTACACCAACTTCACTGGCCATGCACCTGTTATGAACCCATATTCGTAAGTGATGCTCAACAATACAATAAACAACATGACGATACCCCAAACAAGCGACCACGGCTCGATAGTGGGTCAAATTCAAGACTTGCAGCTCAGCTGTTTGCTGAGCACTACTGAGCACCTATCCCTGCCTACCTCAAGCCGAGCCACCTCCGAGTGGAGATCCCCCGTCGCCACCGCTTCGGGTGCCGGCCCCTTCCGCGGTGCCCCCTTAACCCCTCGCCGCTCTTCGTCGTTAGCGCAGGCACCGTACTCTGAGTGCAGCGAGGGGGACTGGGTTGACACGGACCCCCGACCGCCGCGGGAACCGGGGTGTACAGCATCGCGCCTCCCCTCTTCGCCTTCGGTGAAGGTGGTGCGAGAGGCGTTGTCGGGTGCAGTGGCAGACCGCAGCCTTATCACCTGTCGAGTGGGAAGACAAAAAATACGTATCCAAGGAGGCTTATATTGCTCGGGCTAGACCCGACGAATAAACACAAAATGATGCTTAGGCAAGAGTACACCGGCAGTGTTGCGAGAGGACTCGTACATAGCCAACGTGACTAGCCGAGGTAACAGGCAGATTACCACCGCTTGCTTTGGCAATTTCCACGCTTTCATAACTCTCCTCAGAATGTCGGTTGATTCGCGTTTGTGCGTACCCTACACATCAAAATCAGACCAACCCGTCGCAACCATGTACCATTGCGCAGTCTTGGACGAGTTGTTTCATGTGCCTCCATCGCACCAACAACACTTAAATGTAGACATAATAATCTCTCTCCGTAGGTCGCTGTAGCCCTCCCACAGATCGGGTAGCAACGACAGGGCTGCACACTCTGCACGATACCCCGAAGCGTTCACCTCCTGGAGCAAAGCCTCTATTTGGTCCGCCTGTTCGTCGACACGCTCCTCCAGCATCTCAACAACTCCGGCAGTAGCGGAAGTGTTGTTTTTCATCTTGCTATTCGCGCCCCCACCCCCAGCATCACAATCACCGACACCTGCCGCCGCCGCCGATTTTCCGAGTGCAGCTCTCTGTCTGGCGATATTGTTACGCTTGGCCACGACTTCGCCAAGCTCCCGGATCTTGGCATCTTTCTTACGCAGGAGTAGCAGCGCTCTGTTTTTTTTCTCCTCGAAAGCCTCTCGTTCTCTCCACACGGCGAGGTCGGTCAGGCGAGCGACGCTGGGGGAAGCAGCGCGGAGCTCGGACACCAGGGCCTGTTGTGCGACGGGTTGCGTTCGTGTGTGGGCTGTTCACATATATGTGCTTCTCAACTGCTGCCTGCGACTAAGTTGGTGTCGTCCGTCGATGGTTGAGATCGAAATTAATTTGTTCTCGACGAGCCATCTTGGCGTTATCCAGTGATGCGGCGATTTTTATCGGTTGAGTGACAAGTAAGTCTCCTTTGCCCGCGATCACACCGTTTTTTGAGAGACGTACGGGCGGCATGTACGTGTTAACCGGGGGCAAGAGGAGAAGACGCAGACGTATCGGTTTTGTGTTACAGAGCCACACACGGCGGGCCTTCACACCATCGCCGCGAAAACTATTATTAGCACAAAGCCTGCGCTTATTTATCAGAAAAACGCGTGTGTGAGAGCTAACCTGGAGTCTTGCGTTCTCCTTCTTGAGCAAGCGTTGGACGTTACCACTACCGCTGTCGACCAACCCGAGTGGTGCTGCCGCGGCCCTCCCCTCCATCTTATCGGCAGCAGACCCGCCGTGTGTTGTTGGGGCACCGCTGGTTTGGCGCAAGGCCTGCAACCCGTGGCCACGCAACACTCACTTTTAGGGCGAAGACTTCTTCTTCTCTTCTGGTTGGCCGTGCACGGAACGACGACGTACAAGGACAAACGGACGATCCGTATGTACCGCAGACCTCACCTGTCTACTGTGATACATCCCCATGTGAGGAACCCTATTAGATCTGTAAAGAGTCACTGAAACAGGCCGTAAATAGATCTCGTCTACTGCTCTGCTGTATACCAGGTAGTCTGACGTTGTACTGCCGGGACTCAGGAGTGGTTGTGTCGCGTGTGCCCATGTGTCTACAAGAACGCAAAAAGTTGTCATGAATGCGCTGTCATCTGTCGGCAGGGGCACATCGCCTGGTTGGTGTCGGCAACGGCACACAATAGTCACTAAGGTACAATGCGTACAAGTAGTAGTGGGCTCACGCCGCCTACACTGGCGTCTTGGACTGATCTGTCCATTTACGTCTTAAAAATGGTACCATAGTCTACATTACCAGGGTCTGTTGTTGGATGTGGGCGGGGATCAGAGCTGGCTTCGTACACCGACTCCCCGAGAGGACGCAAGGACCATGTGCGCCACAAGACCCACGACCGAACTTACAGCAGCAGCGCCACGGTGGCGTTGGATTGCCATCCTCTTGACTCTCGCGACATCAAACCAACCGTCATCCGAACCTCCTTGGATACGCAAAGCTACATTCCCGAGTTTCCCTTGTAATCGACACAAGCGTGAGCGTACAACAAAACATTTCCCCTGAAGCAGCCACACGCACCTGCGCCATTACCGAGAGGTAAACCCCTGGGCTTCTCCCACAACTCACGAAGGCACAGCAGTCGGCATCTGTCATGTGCTGAGCAGCAGAGATTTAGATCAGGAGGCCCCGCAGAATGAACACGTAACATGGGGGTATCCATGCATACGCTCCTCTGCCCTCGTGCGAGGCTGTCTGCAACTGGTCTGCTGGTCGGTGTGTATGCAGCCATACAGATCGGCAATATCTCACTGAGGGGGGGCTTGCACCGCTGGTTTTCGATCATGGCAACCTGGAAAGGAGGGCCTAAGCCCCCACCGAGAGTGGTGGCGCCAAACAAGCTCTGGCACGCGTTCAAGCACAAGAATTTGGACGTGTTCAAGTGTGAGTTGATGTGCCCCGATTCCCTTGTTGTTGCAACTCCCTCCATTCGCCCGCTGCTGTTGATATTCTGTGCATGGCACGTGGCATCTTGTTCCTTAGCGGCTGCTTGAAGTGCATGCAGCTAGCGTGAGGGTTCTTGATAAGGAAGGGGGTTTGTTTATGAGAAGCTACCTCGTGGGTTGTGGATATCTGTCCGAACCGCGCGCGCGCCCAGGGGAGAAAAGAGAAAAAGAGTCCGTTGACGGTTTGCTCTCTCTCATTATTTCGCCGCTTCGCCCTCCTTACGCATATGAGTTGCTTTCGTTTGCCTTTCCTCCGCTGCCTGCCTGGTTGATCTTTGGCTGCCTCCGCAGTCGATCTAGATGCCGACGAGGATCAGAACTACGTTTCTGCATCCGAAAGATTTCTGGAATTCCAGACACAGGTGAGAACCGACCACGCCGTTATTATGATACTACTGCTGCTGTTCTTGTACCATCAATTTTAGAAGCAATTGCCTTTTTGTTCGTCACCGACCCCAGAGAACGCGACTTTCGACTGGAATAACGGCCGTTCGCGTGTGCTCTTAGACGGTGGTGTAGCTATGCACTGCAGCAGTCCGGAACACTTGCAAGAAAAAGGTTTATTTTGTTGCGATCGAAGCGTTTCCGGCATCGATTGCGAAATGACGTCCGAATGTGGTGTGTAGTATGCCCTTGACCAGCTCTCTTCGCAAGAATAGTGCCTTCCGCATCGGTGTCTCTTGAAAAGAACCATTCGATTTTCCATGCTCAGAGGGTGGGTGCTCTACATGGCTGTCTCCACGGTGTCTCTGTGGGGCAAGTGATTGCTGGGGCAAAAGCCAACTTAACCCAGCCTGTCTCTCATCCCGGAGCCCTCTCCTTTCGATCACGGCTGTCTGATCCCTTGTGGAGCTGTAGATGAGGCTTCGGGCTTCTCGTGGCGAAGTGCACCAAACACCGAACATGATCGTTAGCATCGCGCTTGTCGCGTTGTACAAGCATGATGGCCTCCGTGCACTGCTGCAGCTCGTGTACCGAAAGAAGCTCTGAAATGCGTCTACGTGTACGCGGCGGCAACTACGAGACATAGTTACTGCTGCTGTGATCCCAGATTCCTCCCTCTGACAAATGGCAGTAAATGAAACTGCTGTATGCTACTTGTCCATCACCAATGCACGACTGCAATACGCATGCTTACGTCCATTTCAGCTTGCACACATGGTTCAGCCCATACCTTGTTGATGCACTACAGTACATACCATACGAACATCGCATGTCAAGAAGTTGCTCCGTGGGTGAAGTAAGGGCAATTTTACTTGGCGACACACTCCTTGCTCCCTCCGTCTAAAATCTCTCGCGCCCTCGACGCAACTCTCTCTCTCTCACTCTCTCTTGCTGCGTTCGTTTCTCATCCACGGTGCCACCACCCCAACAGCTCGGCATGGTGCTGCATCACACACAACTGTTCCGGAAAACACTGGAGGAATCCCTGCAGCACGCGGTGGAGCTTGCGGATGACTTCGGAAGGGTCGCGGCCGGGAACGGGGGAGGGCGCACGATGGAACCGTGGGCGCAAAAGGCCGGGGGCCAGGCGTTCTTCCTGAAGGGGATGCTGGAGGAAAGCGCGGTCTCCCTTCGACAGTGAGTTTGTTGTGCTTGGTTGCTTGTGCACGTGCATGGGTGAACGCTGCGTTTGCAAATGTCGTTGTATTTCCTTACAGGCGGAGAAAGAAGGAACCCCGGAAAACTAGCCGCTGGGTGGTGGTTCGCCTCCTTCTACGGGTAACGGTTACATGTAGGGAGGTACAAACGCTGAACGCGCCGAAGAAGGATGGTGTTGGACTGCCCATACCCGGGGGCGGGACGTAATCAAGGAGGGCGTCGTATTTTGCGCGGCGCCTGTTTTTTTCCCGTACTTTTCGTGAGGATTTCGAATGGCACCGACCCGCCCAGGAAGACAAACGTTACCTGTCGAGGACGGCAGCAACTCCCCTTGCACAGCTTTCTATTTTATCGTGTCTGGAGGGGGGGGGCAGTGAAACGGTTTAGTTCCCCCCAATCTCAGAGAAAAGGGAAACCACACATAGCGCTGAGGACAACCAGCTGTCCCGTTTGTGCTTGGTGCAAGCAACGATGAGAACGACCCAAAGGTGACGTTGCCGCCGACTGAACCGAACGAAACCGCCGTGTACCAGACCCGCCAATCACACCCGCATGTGCCGTTCATTTTGTAGCTTCGGGCAACAGGTCCTGGATAGCCATATGACACAGCATACTCCATTTGTCCACGAACGGAGAGTCTTCTCCCCCCCCCCCCCCCCCTCTCTCTCTCTCTCTCTCTCTCTCTCTCTCGTCGAGTCGAGTCGAGTCGAGTCGAGTCGAGTCGAGTCGAATGGCGTACGATAATGTTGGGCACAGCTGTCGGGAAGGTGTATTTTTCGAGAATGCCAAGGTCGATTCCATACAGCCCGTGTTAAATGACGTACACCGCCCTTATTTATCATTGTTTGTCCTCTTATTTGTTGTCGAAGCATGGGGAGTGGGAGAGCGACCGCCGCTCCATGACGATCGGCAAGCTCTTCTCAGTAAAGAGTGTGGTTCCTGAAGCGACAAATAATACCCTCCCCGAACCGACATGAAGAGGACCCACCTGAACCTCATACGAAGAATTCCGAAACGAAACAACACAGGGTACACGGCATTGTTCCGGGCATGTTGGCTTCCGCAATCGGGAGAGCGCTGCTGGCCAGCTTCCGCTCCCCCCGGAACGAAAATAGTAATCAGATCAACCGTGGGTTGTGCAATGGCCTGCCTCTTCACATCGAAGCGATATGGGAGCCACGGTGGCGGATAGAAAAGTTGCTTCTTAGGAACGAACACCGCGGCGCTCAATCCTCGTCCCAAAGGAGAAGAAAAAAAATCCGAGGTAGCTTACCACACGCTCTCAAGTCAAGCACTATCTCCGTTTCCAATCGCCAATGGATCCACTGCTGCTGTGTTGACCGGCCGGGTTGTCAGGCTTGAGTTTCGCTCCGTGGCTTGAGCTCGCTGTCTTTTCAATCAATGGTTGACGCCCACCTTCGTCTTGTCTTGTCGATCGGCTTTTGGCATTGTTTAATCTTGATGTGGGAACTTGAATGAATTTCGTTGGACCCACTCGTGTGTTGCTCATGACGATTGCCTGTGCTCTATGTTGCTACCGTCCGCTTTTTACGTACGGCGATATATGCGTGCCCCTTTAGTTATATTGCTTCTGGTTTTCTCTCGTGTGCGGTGGGTTGCACCCGAACGGCGGCGGTGGACCATTGCTGTTAATTTTTTTTGTGTGTGGTTATCCCCGAAATTATTTTTCATGTTCTCTTTTCTTTGTGTTCCTTTTCCTCGTGCCGGGTAACCCTCCCTTATCCTAGGCACTTGTGTGACGAGCTGGAGGAGAAGGTGGTGCGGTCCCTGCGAGAAGAGGTGGCCAACTTCAGCACGGTGCACACACAGATGCTGGAACGGTCGAACATGAAGGTGGGTCCGTGCGTCTCTTTTGTTTGCACCAGCTGCGGTTCTCGAGCAGCTCGGCCGATTAATACGCCGTGCTATTACTAGCATTTTCAACGTAGGGCAGGTGGATAACGAACACGATGCGTTGTGATGGTCCCCACAATTTGGGGGCACGCGGTGGAAGTTTTCTAAGGCATGTAGCGCTCTCTTTGGACAGCCTCAAGAACGCTAGCCAAAATATTAGCGTTGAAGGGGCTGGGTATGCAGACTAACTGTTAGGGCAGCCTGTCCTGTTGACGAATTATCCCGTCAACGTTTGTCGGTGGTGCGTGCGCGTGTGCTCGCCTCCTCTGGGTATGGTACGAGAAGTCACTTCTTTTTAGGTCGGAAGCTCTCAGGTTGTGGAAGACGACTGGTTACTCTTGCTGTCGTCGCCCCGCCCCACCTTACCCTAGGTCGCCCCGTCCTTCTGGTTGTATGTGCCAGATGGAGGCAAGCGAGCAAGCCCCCCCCTCATCAAGTGTTGGCACACTGAAAAATAGTACGAGGGAAATCGCTCGAAGTCAGAGGTTAACGGGGAGACAGAAAGCCAAAACCCGGCGGCGATGACGAAGTTGAAGTTTCTCCCTCAGAAAATGACATGGTACAACGTGACGTGTCGGCAATGTCTCCGTTGGGAGTAGTAGAGGAGTATGGTGCTCTCTGTTCTGGGAGGGATGGAGTGGTCTATACATTATGTCCAAAACGAATCAAGGCGATCAGTAAGAGAACACCCCCGCTAACCGCTAAGGCATGCAAAACATTAGTACGCCCCCCCCCCCTTCTCCTGTGTGCGTCACCCCCTACCCACGCCCACCCCAGATGGAGATGCTCCACTACTCCAACAAGGTGCAGGAGCTGAAGGGCAGCCAGAAGGCCACCGATGAAAAGAAGGACCGCAACAAGGAGAAGTACGCGCAGGCGTCGCAGGCCCTGAGGGACCAGACGAACCAGCTCATGTCCATCTTCGCCCACGCCGAGCAGCTGCGGCAGCGGCTCCTGACCCAGGATTTCCCGTCGGTGATCACGGCGGAGAAGAACGCCTTCGATGCCTTCGCGATCAACCTGAACAAGGCGGCGGCGGAGACGTCGGACGGAGAGCCGCGACCCCCTCGGATGTCGGACGCGGCTCGGGCTCCCCAAAGGTGAATCGGCTGTCATCGTTGTTTTTGAGTTTATTGTCGTCGTTTGTCGTTGTCATCGTTGATGTGTTTTTTGTCGTCGTCCGTCATTGTCATCGTCGAGGTCGTTTTTTGTGTTTTTTTTGTTGTTCTCGTCGTCGCCGCCGCCGCTGTGTGAGTAATTGTGTGTGTGTTTTTTTTTTCTTTCCGTACAGAAACGAACCAGAACCATGTATCTCTCTCTACATGTATTTATCCACAGATGAGCAGAAGGGTCTAGGACAAAATTGGCAGTGGACTCGTCGTGTTTGTCTGACCTACCGACCTGTGTTTTGCGCCCCCATCTCCGAGCGTGGTTGTTTCTTGTCCGGACACGCTGAATTGCTACGGTTTTTTTACAACCTCTCAACTTCACAATCCTCGTCGTTGCACCCCCTGGTATGTATGCCGCACTCTTGCATGTGTTTTTTTTTTCTTCCCTCACTCCTCCCCCTGGCTCCACGTATCACGGCCTCTCTGACCCAGGATGCCCCCCCGCCCCCGCCACCCCCTCCCCCACCGTACGGCGCGTTTTTCTCTCCATGTGTTGTACCATTCATGCTGCTGTGTTGGTCAGGGTGATGCCTCCAAGCGACTTCCCCACGTCTCCGAACACCAACTTACTTTGGCGGAGGTCTCGCTGGAAGACGCGATGCCGCCGGGGGGGGGTGCGGCGCCCCCGGCCTACAATTCGCCGTTCCCGGTTAAGGTCGAGCCTCCTCCGCCGGCGGCGGGGGAGGTTACCCCGACGGTGGTCAAGAAGCGGAATCCGTG